CCAAAACAGAAGCCTTACCTTGCACAAGCTTTGTGTCATCGCCAACTTCGACTTGGTCTAAGCTCATCGTTGTTGCCGGGAAGAATCAAACAACCAAGGGAAACTACAAAATTGCGAAATTTCAGTCAACCACAGTGTAGCAAAAAAATGAAAGTTGTACGATCAATTATAAGAATTCAATGAATATGGCTTGGTATAGCAAATACTCCCTCCATCCCAAACTAATAGAAGTTCTATGTTTGTCTTTTTTTTAGGCTCAAGAAGTTCTATGTTTGTCTTAGCTCCAAAAACATTTAAATTTGACCAAATTTATGGAAAATATGATAAATTCTACATCATGTATTCACAATACGAAAAATTATTTTATAAAGACTCTAAAGTTCTGCATGTTGATCTCTGTTTCTATGAACTTAAAAAAATATGAATTAGAATAAGGCTAAAACTTTAATTAATTTAGAAGGGATGTAGTGCGTTTATGGACGGATTTGGATTGTGCTGGCTTTCCACATCAAGTAAAGCTGGTCCCGAAAAATGTTTTGAGCACAACGCAAACGAAAGAATGCGGCTTGATTGTTTGAATTGAGTCGAATCGGATGGACCACACACACTCCTACATGGCCAAGGAAGAATTTCTTCATGTCTTTGTTCCGGAGACAATTCTCCCACCCCACCCTGCCATAAGTGATAAGTGGCACGAGGAGCCTGTCTTCGGGCGGCGGGCGGGCAACCCACCCACCATCGCCGAACCTTCTCAGCAGGAAGCTCACCGGGAAGCCGACCAAAATCCTCAAGAGCTCACGGCCAGCGGCCCAGCGCCTCCTCCTACCACTACAAATCTACCCGCCAAATCCACTCCCCAACCCAGTCCATGCAGCAGCTGAGCAGCGGCGATTTATTAGGGGGCCTTATAAATACGAAGCGCTCTCGCCGGTGCCAAACTCGGTCATGGCGGCAGTCGGAGCGGCACCACTGCTCTACCAGCAGCAGGCGCAGGCGGCGGGGGACGGCTGCTACTTCTCTTTCATGTCCGCCTACTTCTCTAACGGGGAAGCCAGCTCGAACGCCTCCAGCCCAGCGTCCAGCTTCTCGGCCGCGCTCGGCGCCACACCGCCCGCTGCACCGGTGATCGCCGCCGACCCCGCGGCACAGTTCGACATCTCCGAGTACCTCTTCGACGAGGGCGCGTTCTCTGCAGCGCTCCCGCCCGTCGTCTCCGTGCCGGCCGTTGACGCGGCTGCTGCAAGTTCGGCGACCGCGGTGACTGCGAGGAGCGCCGAGTCGGCGGCGGCGGCGGAGCGCCCGCGGACGGAGCGCATCGCGTTCCGGACGAGGTCGGAGGTCGAGATCCTCGACGACGGCTACAAGTGGCGCAAGTACGGCAAGAAGTCCGTCAAGAACAGCCCAAACCCAAGGAACTACTACCGGTGCTCGACGGAAGGGTGCAACGTGAAGAAGCGGGTGGAACGGGACCGGGACGACCCGGCGTACGTGGTGACCACGTACGAGGGCACGCACAGCCATGTGAGCCCCAGCACCATCTACTACGCCAGCCAGGACGCCACCTCCGGCCGCTTCTTCATCGCCGGCACGCACCCGCCGCCAGGCTCACTGTTGTAGCTCGTGCTTCCAGGGGCGGAGCCAGCGCCCAGCCACCCCGGGCACTTGCCCGGGCTCGTTGGCTGTGAGACATTGTACATGCATGATAAACAATAGGCAGATTTTACTGCTAGTCGTGGTTTACCTGGGCACCAGTGCATGCACGATTGATTCAAAAAAGGTCCACGTATGCACGTATGTGATAAACAATAGGTTAGCTTATTTTTAGGGGTAACAATGGGCTAGTTAAATTTTCGAAAAAACTAACGCCCACACGTGTTGGCGTTTGCAGATCATCCACACGCCTCCATCACCATTCATTTTGCCACGTATGAATAGATGGCATCAACAGAAATCTTTTTGGTTTTCGGCTCGTATCTCTCAAATCTGATCTTGTGCATACCAAAAATATTACTTAGATTTAATTCTGTTAGCCATAAGATATCTGATGCATAAGAGAAAAAGTCGCCAAACGCGACAAAATTTATTTATTTGTTAAACATGATAATTTGATTTCTTGAAGTAAAATGTGAGGCGACTTGCTTCGAAAAGCATGATAATATACATAGAGAATTTGCAGCTAAGATCTCTTCTGGTGAAATTATTACTATTTTATTTTATTGACAATCATAGAGGCAAATTTAAGTTAACACAAATTTAATGATGTTTTTATAATAATGAAGCGGAATATTGTGTAAGTTATTTTTTCACACTTGTACTTTTTTTTAAAACTTGGCTATATCAAGCATAATGTTCAACAGTCATAGGGTGCTAAGTTTGCTTCTTCTAGAATAATTACTTGAGAGGAACACGAGCAATCACAACCCTTGTCTGCACTTTAGCTATCCGTTTGTACGTATTGTGAGACAGATTGGCGACAAGCGGAGGCAGGCCTTGGTGCAGAGGAAGTGCTGGGTAGAGCAAATCCATTTTCAGCAACAGCTTACATCCTCGACAACTCGTCATCTCATCCTCTTTATGATGATCAGATAAGACTACTAACTGATTTGGAAATTGGTAGGTTAGGGCTTAAATTTTGAGGTCAGCCGATGGAAAATTGACCTCCGGTGATGATCACGGCCTCAAAAGTCTAATCTTTGGTTTATGGATTTGTTTCAGATAGTTACATGTTAACTTCAGTTCTGAAATTACTGAATTTCATAGATGGTAAAATTTGGTTAGTAGAGCAAGCACTCACACTTACCACAAGAATTTTCCCTCGTGATTCTTTTTAGCATATTATTGGTATGTTTTATCTGACCGTCTCTATTCTCTAAAGTTCTTTACTTTGAACACGCTCACAAGTCACAACACGTACTTTATTTGCACTACAAATCCTTCTTTTTTATCTTGTAGCGTTTTCTAGGACGTTTGGAAGCTAATTTGGATGACTATAATTTTGAATTTTCTAGCAACATGATGGCCAAAGCAATATTCAAATCCAAGCTCTACATCTGGCTCACACCCGGAAACCGATAGTAGAAGGGTGGATGGGACCCCGAGACCTATGGGATTTGGTCCTATGCATGGCCTCATTCTAAGACTTATGTTGTCTCTAAGTCTCAACTTTATTCTGTTCGATGAAACTGAACATTAATATGTTATATAATAGTTTACTTAAAAATTACATTTGCACGACTACTAGGCTTATGTTTTGACTTCATATTTTGCTGGCAGAGCTATGTTGAGGCCGAGGGGGCCTATGCCCCCTCACTCTCCTTGGACCAAACTCAGATGTTTGGAGCTATTTTATACTTAGGCTCAAGTTTGCCCAGGCTTCACAAAATTTCTAGCTTCGCCACTGCGTGCTTCGCAAACCCCGCCTCAATGGTGTATGCCGCTCCAAGCTCGAGGACAACTGGACAGGATTTGGCCAAGCACATACTAATATTCTTCTGTATGTGCTGCCCGCACGGTCGACATCGTTCATCCGAACGGAAAACGCCGGAGCTAGCTAGCCTTGCCTTCCAAGTGGAACATGATTGAGAGATCAAATGGTCCTCGTTGTGGAAGAAGATGGTCCAGTGTTTTCGACAACGTAAAAGATGCCAGCTAGCTAGATGGACTCCGAAGCGTAAAAGGATTGAGGATAGAAAATGATCTTCCACGAGGGAGTTAATTGCATTGAGATACCACATTTGGGGCAGGTGTGACGAATCAGTACTACTATTCAGTTTTTTTACATGTCAGTATCATGTTTAAGGCAGTCTGTTATATGTTGGTCTAAATCGCGTATAATAGTGTATTGACTCTGTATCTGACTGGTATTCAAACCCTCGCCCTGCCGTGCATAGCACTAACTGCCGCGCCACTACGCCACAACGCCACTTCAGATAGTTCAGGCAATTACATCTTTTATACTGTGAGTATAAACGTTCCGCTTACATGTGTCCCATATGGGTCCCGCTCGTCAGTGGGATGGAAGAAAGAATTTGATATATATACTAATAAAAAGATTGGGGGCCAGGCGGGTTTACCAGCGAGTAATTTGACAAAATAGATGTAAGAAAACTTTACAATTACCATGAAAGGTAATAAAGTGCTTGCGCATATGAAAAAAATGTTCAGAACATTTTTGGAAAATGTTGCACGTATTTCAAAATTGTAAATGTATTTTTTAAAATGTTCGTCATGCATTATAAAATTTATTATGATTACACAATAATTATAAATACATGTTGTAAACTTTTTGAGTAACTGTGCATTTTAAAAAATACAATAAATATACACAACAACTGTGAGTTGGGCATATAATGCGTTTAATTGTGTATTTGAAAATTATAATCAGGATGCACAACAATAGTGCATGGTTGTGCTCCCGAGTTTACAATTTTGTTATATACATTGAACACTTTTTAAATATACGATAAACTTCTTGTAAAATATATAAATTCCATTTCTTCGTATGTGTTTTTTTGGGTTTCTTTTATGTTTTTTCAGATCTACGTTATTCTTCGGGTTTCCATTATTATACATTTCTTTTTTACATAGGCTTAGTATGCAATATTTTTTTGTAAAAACACAGTGAACATTATTCTATAAATACACAATGAAATATATTGTTTAATATAAGACGAACAGTTTTGTTATATACATTGAACATTTTTTAAAATATATACATTCAATTTTTTGTATGTGTTTTTTTGTTTCGGATTTCTTTTATCCCTTTTCAGTTCTTCGGATTTTTTTTAAAAATATTTGCATTGCAAATGGGCCCTGCCCCATGTTAGTAGTGTAATAATTTGAAGATATGTTATCCAAATTGTACAACAATTTCGAGCTGGTGGCTGTAGGCGCCTGCACCTATTTAATAAATTAGTATTCGCATTTGTCTAAAAAAAACTGTGTGTTGTCGCTGGTGGCTGTAGGCGCCTGCACCCGCTGTGCAAATTGTCCTGCAGCTCGTTTAACAAGAGTGCTATGCCACAAGGTTATCGTGAGGACCTGTGTGTTGTCGTGGTTAGCGCGCGCACGCGGTTCGGTTCAGGCGCAAGTTCAAATTCTGGCAACCGCCCTATTTTTTGGTTGTTCTATTTGTTTAAAGGCGAAAGAATATGAAGACCTAGTATCCTATCTGACTTATCCCCCGTGTGGTGTAGTGGCAACGAACGTGCCGGGTGAAGCGGGTGGTCACCGGTTAGAATCCCGCGCGCGGCACCTTTTTATGTTTCTGCAAAGGACATCTTCGTGATTACGTATAATGCAAGGGGGCATTCTGAAAAAAAATGCCACGTTTCACCTGACATGCGGACCCCGCCGGTCAGATACACTGTCAATACATGTTTATATGCAGATTAGACTATTTTGTAACATACTGCTCCAGACATGGTACTGACTTGCAAAAAATCTGAATAGTGGTACTAATCCGTTACAGCTGCCCCAAATGTGGTACTTCCCTGCAATTAACTCGGTGCCAGCGGTCGGATTAAATAGCCGGACTAGGCACTATGCGGCTCGTCAGAGCGGCGCCATACTGCAACATCGGCCAAAATATGCCTTTACGTTCCCTCGGCCAAAAAGTAAAATCATTTCAACTCATCACGACATAATTGTATACTCAACTATTTGTTTTTCTCGTCGAGGGCATATACAAACATATTTTTCAATGGGCCAGCTAGATCATCTTATATTATGGGTGTGTTGTTCCAGTATATTTTTTCATGATTTTTTTGGGAATTTTACACCTCAAAACCTTAACAGGTTATGTGGTAAGCCATGACAGAAAATACTCCTCCTGAGGCTTAGTTTAAACTCCCTCCGTCCGAAAATACTTTTCATAAAAATGACTAAAAATGGATGTATCTGACACTAAAATACGTCTAGACATGTCCATTCCTTCGACAAGTATTTCCGGACGGAGGGACTACTAGTCAAATTATGTCCTGCTATGTTTATTTTATAATCTGACATGAAAATTCACCCAAAAAGTAGAAATAAGCAACTCAAATAAACGCTGAAACAAGAAGATTCAGATATATTAAACGGGGTTATCATAATTAATCTAACTCAATACTAAATGCAACCTAAGTGCCTTACTACCACTAAGTGCCCTACTAACCATGTGGCCCCTATATATATACATGTAACAACGTGAGGGATTCAAGTAGGGAAGAGAAATTTCCCAATAATTTTGACGTTAATCCTATAACTACTTCCTCCGTTCCTAGAGATTTTAACAAGTGACTACATACAAAGCAAAATGAGTAAATCTACACTCTAAAATATGTCTATATACATATGTATGTGGTAGTCCATTTAAAATCACAAAAAGACAAATATTTAGAAACGGAGGGAGTATATGTTATCCATGTGCCCATTCAACAACACACACGAACGTGGATCCTTTCTAGAGAGAGCTAGAAGCACAAAAACCAAGTTCCCATATTAATGTTGAAATAAGGGGGGCGGTGTTTTTGCTCTCAGGAGCATATGCTCCCTTTATTTGAAATATATTTTAAATGCATTTTAAAATGTTAAAAAATCATGTGAAAAGATTTCTTGTGTTCACCTCGACATGCTAT